ATTTTGTTGTTTGTTTTGGTGGTTATTGGGGTTTGGGTGGGGTGGGGGGGAGAGATAGGGGAAGAAAAGTGCAAAAAATGGGCCCCCTTTTAAACTGTCTTTAGCTCATTATTTATTTCATATCTTCTTTATGGTGTACCACAATGCATTGTTGTGAAATCATATATACACATCTTATCTAGGAAGCTAAGCGAAATGAATTGGTTCTTGGTGCTTTCTTAGATGGTAGAGGTTCCATTATACACTGGAGTATTGCCCTTTTGGCAGAGTTCCAAATTATATAAAAATATATCTAGTAAATTTTATGGTTTCTTCCCAGTATTTTTCCATCACATAATGCTAAATGCTGATAAGTCTAGATAACAAAAATTCTGGAAAGGCTATAGGCTGTAATTTAAACAAAGTACAAATGGTTAGAGTCATTTGCAAAAACCATACCCATAGGCCTAGTTCACTGTTCAGCTTTGTATATGGAGAGGTGAAGTATTCCTATACCCATAGGTCTATATCTATCTGCATAAAGTTGTTGAACTAAATACTTGAGAAGATTATTAAATTTCAAAGGATCAAGGTCAAAGCTATATATTTAGTCTACTTTTGACCATGACCTGTCTCCATAGCTTCGCACTTTGAATCTCCTAAATCCTACCTCTTCTCTTCAATAGTTGTTTATCCTTTTCAGCTAAAAGTGAGCTTGAGAGACAGAGAGAGATTGATATGCTTAGAAATTATTTTTATAGAAGAAATCGTTTCTGATTTGTTTACCTTGAATTGGAAAATATTTTCCTGAAAAAAAGGAAAAAATGACTTTTATTATTTATGAACGGAAGTTATTTTTATTTACAATATTCAAACTCTTACTTCATATAACTTGTTTTAATTAACATTTAGATAATGGGGTAAACATTTAATATGCAAAAAATATCCTGGAACACTGTTTATACACCCTATGATATTCCTTGTAACATTACCACGTGTCACCTACTTTTCTCAAAGTGAAAACAAACATCTAATATTTTTTTTTAATTCCTTTTAACTGACAAAGAAAATGGCCTTGGTTAATTTGTGGTAAAAGATATGCTTAGCACTAATTACTTAACATGCTTAGGGCAGGCTGAGAAGAAAAGCAGAATGCAAAAAAGCAGCAGCCAAGTCATTGTCCACAGAGATTGTACTGAAATGAAGACAAAATCCTCTTTCATTCAACGTTGAAATATTCCCCATGCATGGGATCCCATATATATTTATACACCCATTGATTGAGGTGGGGATGATGAGGGTGGAGAGAAGCAAATAAAGATATTCTTTGAAGATACTCTTAGAAATATTTATATAAATGAAACAACTCATGGTATATGCGATTTTATTTTTTGATTTTTCACCCAGTATCTGGTACCTAGTATATATTTACTACCAAGCAAATTGAGCTTAATATTNTCAGTGGGCAATTTGGAATTTTGAATTAGATTACTTAAAGAGTAACGTTGAAGATATACCTAAATAATGGTGGATTTTGTATGCTTTGGAGAACTCTATATTAATACTGTTACTGCGTTATTGTTGCTCTTTAGTCTATGCCAACCATTTTTCAACTTCTTTGCTGGTATTGTCGATAAACTTTGCCCTACACACGTGCCTTTCCATTTAATAGTATTGATCTTCACCATATCATCCTTTTCTTGGACGGTGGATTATGAGGGGATTTCTAGACACTACATTGATTAGGTCACAATACCTTTGCTTAAATATTTCTATTATCCGATTTTAAGATTTTTTTTACATTAGTAATTTTAGAGTATTTGTATAAACTATTCTGTATCTCTTTCTTCAACTCACTTAGTTAACTCCACTAATTGGAGCAGCAATAGTATAACAATTTGAAAAAAGAGACTAGTAAATGACTTCTTGTTTTTTTTTAAAAAGCCAAATATTTTACAAATTCAGTTTATCAAAGCAAATTATATGTAGGATCCGAATTTAGATTACAATATATATCTTAGTCATAAGTGAAAGGACGACCTAGGTAGGAGAAAGAGGGAGTGAAAATAGAGCTTGAAAATGAAGTTATATAAGTATTATAATTTATGTGGCGTACCATTAGTTTGATAGAAAATTGTTTTGGAGGAGCTGAAATGTACTAGAACTGGTTAGGAAAATACAATAACCATCATTCTAGCATAGCTAGTTGACCAAGATATGAAACAACGAAAACCCTAGGTTCATGCATGTCCTAGCCACTTATAGATTACGCCTAGGGGGTGACAAAATGGTTAAAAGAAAACAGTTAATCACCCATATTATCCACTAAAAAATAGGTTGGATAATGAACTTTTTAAAAACGGGTCAAATATGGATAAGAACCATATTATCCATTTAGAAAATGGATAACCCATGTGTAACCAATTGGTCTAACGTTTACATTTGTAAAGCCTCAAATTGGGGGTTCCTCAAGTTAGGAAGACTAAGAATTCTTCTAAAAGTGATCATATACAAGAAGTCATGGATAATATGGGTAACCCATATTATCGCCCGGTTAACCCACTTTTTATCCGTATTAAATATGAGTCGGGTCGGATAATTGATCCGTTTTTTCATTACCCGTTTTCGACCCGAACCATATCCGACCCGACTCGCCCGTTTGCCACTCCTAATTACGCCTATCAATAAGCATAAAACTAGGTCTCAGATTCAAATTTTAGTGGAGGCAAAAATATATAATTTTTCTTTTTGCCTGTTCAAGTCTTGGTGGATAGAATTACTATAGTAGGTACCCAGTAAAATTAGTCGAAGTACGAACAAACTGGCTGTGGTATAGCCTTAGCTAGTCTCTGGTAGCAAATTCTGTACTAACAATATAGAAAGGGAACTTAATTGGATAAAATAAAATAAAAAAACAAAAGTGCAGGATGAGGCACAAGAGAGGCATGTGATTACTGATTAAAATTACATTAGAAGATAAAAAGGGAAAACAGTTGTTTAATTTGATTAGTTGATTCCCAGCTGCAAATAATCTTAAACAATGAAAATCAATTGCTATACCACTGCTTCCGCAACAACTCCTGCAGCAACTTTTATTTTTATTGTTTTTAATTTGACATAATCTAATTAAAATTTTGACACCATAATGAGAAACAGGGTAGGAAAGCACCACCTAGCACCATGTGGATTACTGAGGTGTGGCAGGCAATTTATTTCAAGTAATTACACTTAAAATTATTATATATGTAACCACAAGGAAATTATAAAACTTGGTAATAGTACTTAGTTACGAATATAAGATGAGATTCCTATGGATCAGCGATGCCTAGGATCGTACATACAATATTAACAGCATCTTAAGATATATACAATGATTCCTCTCTTTCTCTCTCCCCAAGAGAAAATACTTAATTAAATAATTAATCCCCTAATTTCATTTATTCGAAGTACTAAGATCACTTTAATTTTTCAATGTTTGATTTTTACCTTCTTTTTTTTTTAATTTAAATTTTTGTGGGAGTTGAGAAATTCGAAACTTGGTACCTAGCTAGGCTACAAGTATCGAAAAGTTACCTCCAATTCTATCAAAATTAGATTGTAGTAACTTATCTTTGAAGGAATATAAGTGAAGATACCATAAAGCCAATCTTCATATTCCTTGAAGTATTAATTTTTTTTTAATTAATGACTAATTATTGGAAAACAAAGAGTAACAATTCATATTTCAATTTTAACAACCGAATTGCAATGTTAGAGTTCAAAATCAATGACGTTACAGGTATTCCATTTTTCCTAGTTACTCCTTCCGGTTAACTTTTATTGATTTTTTGGTTGTTTTCGACACATATTAAGGAATTCACCTTTTAGCATTAATTAATAATAAAATTGATAATATTAACCTTAATTTGCTCATTAGAAATACAATAAATACTCTTAGGTTTTTACCCTAAGGATAACTTTAAAAAAAAAGTTAATTCTTTCTTAATATATGAAAAATAACAAATATTGCGGATCACGAAAAAACGCCAAAAAATCAATTAAATTAGATTGGAGGGATAACTTGTTAAAAAGCAGTGTAAATTAAAGAATCTCACATGGGTGTGCATGAAAGTAGGCACGTCCGTCTAAATTTTGGATTGTTCTTTTTCTACTTATTTTACTTGATCTCCTGTCTCTTGGGTTGAACTAGGGGATGGTTGAGTAGATTGAATTCTGTGCAGGAAAGATATGTTAAACGGATTTTCAGTGAATAAAGCAATGAAGCAGATAACGATGTCAAAAAGAAAGACGAACCTCCAATTTATACTCCTGTATGGGTTAAAACTTAAAAATAACAAATCATGAACTTCCGTTTCATGTTGTTGGTTAATGTGCTTTTTCTCTAACATTCTCTGTAATAAACTGCTGCTTATTTATTCATCACACCTTGGTTTTCTAATACCAGTATATACTATAGTACCATCTTCTTTGCTGAAATTCATGTTATCACCATCCCAATAAAAAGAAAAAGGTTTCTTGTTAAAGTAGTGAAGTTTACAACTTTCATGGCACCCATCAAAAAAAATCAAGCCCACACGTGAGGGCGG